TGTCCCCTGCATCAGCAGGCGGACTCTCAACCACTGCGCCACCAGGGAAGCCCTGGAGGGGTCTACTTTTGATGGATGGTCATGGAAGGCTTCTTAGGGGAGGTGATCCCCAAGCTGAGACCAGCCAGGTCGAGTTGGTGTTCAGTAAGTATGGAAGGCACGAAAGGAAGCAAAACAGAGTGGGCAAGAGTTGTAAGTGGTTGTGACAAGCACAGACTTTCTGGGTTTGAATCCTGCACTGCTAGGACTTGCTGTGTCGTCTTGTGCAAGCTGTTTGCCGTTCTCCCATGCCTCAGTTTCTCCATCTGTAAGATGGGGGTGACAGCAACACTTGTTTCATGGGGCTGTCATGAGGAATCCATGAATTGATATTCATAAAGCACGTGCATGTTTGACCAGCCTGAATCAAGCATCACGCACATAAGGGTCCCAGAGGCTGTTGACTCCAGTTACATCCTCTGCTTCACCTGAGCTCTAACCTGCACCTCTCCTCTTCTCTACCTGAGGGCGCTCTCCAACTCAACCCAACACAGGCTCACCCTGGAAACGTGGGGGGAGATAAAGTCCTGAGGGCTTCCCTCAACCAGGAAGGACAGACGTTGGTGGATAAATGCCTCAGGCTCTCTGCCCTCCATTGGAGTCACAGTGACCTGCACCCCACACAGGCTCTCAGGGGACCCCCAGGGAAACAGGCCCTGTTGTCCAACATGGTACCCTGCCCATCAACGCACCCTTTATTGGCTCTTCTGCCTTCCCTGTCTCACTTCTCTCCCTCTCGGTGCTTCCTGGAATCAGCTCCCAGCGCTGGGATGGGGCATGCAATGTGTCTAGAGGGTAAAGCATAAGGATGCAGTTCAACTGATGAAGGGATAAACACATATGGTCTATCCCTATGATGGAATAATATTCTGCCATAAAAAGGAATGAAACTCTGATGCATGCCACAATGTGGATGAACCTCAAAAACATCACAATAAGTGAAAGAAGCCAGACACAAAAGGTCACATATTGTATGCTTCCATTTATATGAAATGTCTGGAAGAGGTAAATCTATAGACAGAAGGTAGACTAGTGGTTTTCAGGGGGTTGGGAGGAGGAGGAATGAGGAGTGAGTGCTTAGTGGGTACAGGGATTCTTTGGGGTGCTGAAAATGTTTTGAAACTAGATAGAGGTGATGGTTGTACAACACTGTGAATGTATTAAATGTCACTGAATTGGGACTTCTCTGGTGGTTCAGTGGTTGGGACTCCACGCTCCTGATGCAGGCGGCCTAGGTTCGATCCCTGGTGGGGGAACTAGAGCCCACATGCATGCCGAAACTAAGAGTTCACATGCCACAACTAAGGAGCCTGTAAGCCACAACTAAGGTGCCTGCCTGGCACAACTAAGACCCAGCACAACCAAATAAATAAATTAAATAAATAATAAATAAAATAAATATTAAGAAAAAAAAAGTCACTGAATTGTTGGGACTTCCCTGGTGCTCCAGTGGGTAAGACTCTGTGCTCCCAATGCAGGGGGCAACTAGATCCCGTCTGCCTGATACAACTAAGACCCAGCGAAGCCAAAATAAATAAATAAATAATAATAAATAAATATTTTTTTTAAAAAGAGTTACTTTCTATTAAAAAAAAAGTCACTGAATTTTTCACTTTTTCTTCTTTTTAATTGGCTGAGATGCATGCTGGATCTTAAGTTCCATGTCCCCTGCAATGGAAGCGCAGATTCCTAACCACTGGACAGCCAGGGAATTCCCTGAACTGTTCACTTTTAAATGGTTAATGTTAACTTTATGTTGTATGAACTTCACCTCAATTAAAAAATATATTAAATGCACACACACGCAAACCCTGAACAGCTTTCCCCTCCACTGCTCCGAGGCGCGGAATCCTCAGCCAGTCCTGGGACCCTGTGTGGGAATTGTCACCTGGCATCTCCTCCAGGGAGGGGAAACCTCTTCAGTGCTGAAAGCCATGTGGTCCTTCCTTCCTAAAACTGCAAGAAAGGGAATTCATGTTTCTTCACTGAGGCTCTACTATGTGCAGGCCCTGTGCTGGACACTGGAAACTGTTTCCTTCAATGCTCCTTTTTTTTTTTTTTTTCTTCAATTTGGCTGCATCGGGTCCTAGTTGTGCACGTGGGATCTTCGTTGCAGCATGCGGGATCCTTCACTGCGGCATACAGACTTCTCTCCAGTTGTGGTGTGTGGGCTCAGTAGTTGCAGCACGCGGGCTTATTTGCCCCGTGGCATATGGGACCCTAGTTCCCCGACCAGGGATCCAACCCATGTCCCCTGCATTGGAAGGCAGATTCTTAACTACTGGACCACCAGGGAAGTACTCCTTCAACCCTCTTGACCCTCTCTTGCCTCATCCATTTAATTTTTCTTAATACCACCTGACATTACATTATATATACATGGTTTCTCCCACTAGGACGTAAGTTTCACAGGTGCCGGAAGTTTGTCTGTCTTGTTTATTACCATATCCCTCTCACCTGGCACATAGTAGGTGCTCAATAAATATTGATCAGGTGAAGGAACCTAGCAAGATAGGCATTAGCATCTCCAGTTTACAGGTGGGGAAATGCAGGCTCAGTGATTTGTCAAAATCACATGACTAGTAAGTAACAGAGACTGAATTTGAACTCAAGGCCATCTGGGGGCACAGCCCATGTGGCAGGGAGCGGTCCTTCATCAGCTTCCTATGCGTGGCTGGGATGAGTTAGAAGTCTGAAAATTAAAGGTGTCAAGGTGATGACTCATCTCTTAGGCAAAGAAGCGGGGAATGGTGACCTGGAGCTGAGTCACTGTTTCCGCTTCCCTTTGTGCTGACTTGCTCAAACCTCCAGTTCTTGGCCGCCCTGAGCTCTTTGTGGGGATGAGGCCAGGGACTGAACATAGCCTGGGCCTCCATTCTCATCTTGCCTCTGCCCTCTTGGCTGGGACCGTCTGACCCAGATGAAACCACAGATGTGGGCCCAGGCCAGCAGTCCCTATACAGCTATGGCAAGCTCTGAACGCTGGCAGTGATGAAACTTGAAGACATTCCTGCT